CCCAGCTACTTGGGAGACTGAGGCAGGAGACTCGCTTGAGCCCAGGAGTTAGAGATTGCTCTGAGCTGTGATGCCATGGCACTCTACCCAGGGGGACAACTTGAGGCTCTGTCTCAAAAAAAAAAAAAAATTAAGTGCATAATTTTATTTTTCTAGAATCTAGAGTCTCCCTTATAAAGTTGCTTTCATATATGTGATTATATGTCTGTCAGGTTTCAATTAGCTGCATTTTTCAGCTTAACTTATAAGCTGGTCCAATAAGTTTACTACATCCTAGGATATTTTTGAATAGGTGAACTCTAATAATTTGTTTTAGCTTTCTCCAATTACAAGCTACTTTTTAAAAAATCAAGTTTTGCCTCACATCATTCTCTCCAATTGGGTAGAGAACAGTCTTCATGAGACCAAGGATATTTTGACAAAGATGAGGTCCAGGAGAACATAGTAGCTTTCTTATTTTCCACAGACCACTTCAGCAGAAGCCTCTTCAGATGGTTTAAAACACAACTTAGAAAGTTGGCAACATCTTGAGACTGTGGCCTATAAAGATGAGACTAAAGAAAAGAAATACATTTTTTTTGGTGCATACTGATAAGAAAGTGGGAGTATAGCTCTATAATCTTTTTTTCACTTGACCAACATGTTGAAAAGAAGAAAAAGCAAAGCCAGAGTTAACAGTGAGGCTCTTGTTTCTCTAGCCAGCCTTAAGGATGTAAAAATGGAAGACTAGAGTTATCTAGAATCAGTATTCAGAGCAGTGGCATTAAAGTCAGGGACACTGCTTCAGGGGAGTCTGGAGGTAAAGGAAACACCTGTCATTTTCTCTCTAGACCTTCCCCCACCCCAGTCACTCCTGTCAGGTGGAGAGTAAGAGAGAGAGCTCTGTGTTTCTACTATATATAAGATAGATAGGTAGGTAGGTAGGTAGGCAGTGCCCTTAATGGGATTTTAGGCTACAAAAAAAAAAAAAAAAAAAAAAACAGCAAGCTACTACGCAGTTAGAGGGTAGGGAAAGGCTATAAAATAAACCAGTTTGAATAGTGAAATTTTTATATATGATTTGATTTTGATAAGGAAGTTCTTAGATCAGGGACCTTCAGCAACCAAGTTCAGAGGAAATGATATCAAGAGAGATTCAACAAAAACCATGAGCAGGGCAGCACCTGTGGCTCAGTGAGTAGGGCACTGGCCCCATATACTGAGGGTGGCGGGTTCAAACCCAGCTACAGCCAAACTGCAACAAAAACATAGCCAGGTGTTATGGTGGGCACCTGTAGTCCCAGCTACTTGGGAGGCTGAGGCAAGAGAATCACCTAAGCCAAGAACTGGAGGTTGCTGTGAGCTGTGATGCCATGGCACTCTACCAAAGGCAATAAAGTGAGACTCTGTCTCTAAAAAAAAAAAAAAAACTATGACCAAAAAAAAAAAAAAGATTTTGTATGGAAGAGAAATAGTTTGAAGGTCACTTAATTAGTTTAGTAGATAGTACCATGGTGTATAGAATTGGGTAGTTAAGACTGGGATTTCAAGGTTAATGAGATTAGATTATGGTTAATAGAATGATATAAATTTAGAGAATTTAACCATTATTTGAAATGGGTTATTTAATAAAAATGTTAATTAAGAAGGGAATCTGCTGTCTATTGTCCTTTAATGGTAACCTTTGGGGACTAGAGAAAGGTCATGGAGTTTTTCTGTAGAGATGCTTTTCACTTTGAGGCACTTATTGACCATGTCCCTCCCTCAGGTAATGCCCCCAACCTAAGCACTTGTCCACTCACCAGTTTCTAGGTTTTTACCCTAGAAAGAGGCACGGAAATGGATTTCCTTTCCAGAATTGCTTAGTCAAAGTACAGGTCTTTAATGATTCTTGTTAATTAAGGCTTAAAATATTCCTAAAAATGAACGACTCCACTAGAAAAATGTTCATGAGATCTAATTGTTTAAGGTTCACTTTCAGAC